ATACCCCATCGCTTATGTTTGCGCTTGAGTGCGATTGCCGTTCAAGCTAGGACGGAACTGAAAAGATTACCAGTGCTAGCACTAAACGGAGCATTTAAAAACATACAGCATCAATTGTCCTGTCAACCTAAATGCTCACTACGAAGGTCTGCATCCATGGCTTATTTACATTTACCCACAACAAAAAAACTATTAATCCATGCTCAGCCGTGAAGAGTACCACTAATTCAGCACCTACCTAACATGATAAACGACATCTGGAACTCTCAAAACCTCCCCCTAACTTCCGGTATCAGTCGTTGTCTGCTTTTCAACGCCTTACTCCGACATCCGCCTATGAAAGCCCTCCATCTCCAAGCGCTCAAACATGATTATCTCCCTTCCCACAATTTACATCGTCTGACGGCGGGTTGGTATAACCAACTTAAAATGCACGAGTACAACATGACATTTTCCGAAAAAAATTCTTAGTCCTCCATAACGCTATCGTGGAATGCCCGCTCCCTTCGTTATTCCACGTATACATAAAGGTATACATCGATATGCGTAAAGATTCAAGATCCAGACATTGTATCGCGTTCATCATCTCCCGAAGAAGACGAAGAAGAAGAGAGGGCGAATCCATGGACCATATTGTATTCGAACTGACGTTTCGGAAACTTCCTCGTTTCCATCATCAGAGTAGCGTACTTGTTGCACTTGCGGGTCTTGAGTTATTCAGTCTTGCCGCTTGCCTCGTATTACAGCCGTGCTGAACGCACGAACTTTGACCTGCCTGTTTGCCGCTGACTGGCTTAGACCTCCCCGGAGCTGACCGCTGATAGGCCTGCGTGACCTTTGTACCCTTTGGGGTCGGCTTAGTTGTAGTTGTCCGGATCAGTCCGGACAGGACCAGTAAGGCAAGCGAGCACGCAGGACCGAGAGTCAACGCTCACGGAAGACAGCGGAATTGCGGGCCAGAGGTCATGTGACCAAAGCCGAACACTGCCTCACCGATGCGCCCGCGAAGCTGAATGCTGCTCACCTGAACAGCAACGACCGATCAGTCCACCGGCTGACGTGGGAGGGGTCAAGCGGCACGTTGATTTGACCACAACTAAGCCGACCCTAAAGGGAACAAAGGTCACGCAGGCCTATCAGCGGTCAGCTCCGGGGAGGTCTAAGCCAGTCAGCGGCAAACAGGCAGGTCAAAGCTCGTGCGTCCAGCACGGCTATAATACGAGGCAAGCGGCAAGACTGAACAACTCAAGACCGGCAAGTGCAAAAATTACGCTACTCTGATGATGGAAACGAGGAAGTTTCCGAAACGTCAGTTCGAATACAATATGGTCCATGGATTCGCCCTCTCTTCTTCTTCGTCTTCTTCGGGAGATGATGAACGCGATACATAAAGGTATATATAGGCAGAATAGCATGAGCGAAAAAGACAAGGGGGACTGCAATGGTCATTTCTGGCTTGTCAGCCGTCGTCAGCGAGTCATATCCAAATCTAAGTGTAAGGCACTTGCGATTAGAACCTAGGATTTTTGGTCGTAGAGTCTTACTACTCTGCCACTGGCCATTCCGGTCTCCCTTGTCTTTGTCGGTATCATCACATTTAATTCTACTACTAGTCGCTGTGAGACTGCCCGCGAGGTTCTGGTTTGAGCCCCAAGACACAACGGCACGAGCGCGTTCCGTAATTTGGTTGGTGAGCGCCTATCTATCATACCTCTGGCATGACAACCACCGTCCATACGGTTACGGACAGGTGCGAACGGTGCAGGAAGGCAAGATACGTGGAGGGCGGACAACGGACAATACAAACAAGAGCAATGACCGCGGTCACCCCGACGCCGCTCCTATCCCCACACCCGACAAAGGATGAGGAGGAACCGATGCCGCCATACCAATAATCGCCAAACCTTATGATGCAGCGCGCTAGAAGTCATTGACACGCCAGCGCGAAAAAAAAGCCCTTTAATACTGTGACATGCAGTACACAAACCACCTCCGATGATGGAAGCTCGTCTGCTTTCGAAACGTCAGACCAATAAAATCATGGTTCCTGTGATTGCCTTATCTTCATATATACATATATTTATAGGCAAAATGGCATTACCGACAAAGGCAAGGGAGGCTGGAATGGCTATTTCTGGCTTATTAGCCGTCGTCAGCCAGCCATACCCAAGTCCGAAGTGTGGGAAACCCAAGCCTCGAACTCGCGACCTGTTGGTTTAGAAATCCACGCCTCTACCCACAAAACAGTGGACTGAAGCCCCAACTCTGTCCATTTAGTCCGTCCAATTATGAGCGTGTTTGTGGGGAGTGACGGACTGGTTGACTGAGAGCCAGGCTGAAACAGCCCGTTCTAAACGTGACCAACGGTACTCTCACGCAGGTGAGAGGTACGTCCCTCAGCCCCGTTGTGTGAAATCTTGGTCCTTGAGTCTGAAAGGCCAGGTCGAGAATTTGGCGCGCGCAGACAAGGTCACTAGATATCTGCAACCGTCTCTGATGATGGGTTCGAGTGGGAATCCGAAACATCAGGCCAATAAACTTCTTGTTTCAGCGATCACATCTTCTGTCACGAGATATGCCCGCCACAAATCTCATTTCAAGTATCAGTCAAGTGATTGTCTCGGACAGCGGCTGGGGCCGGGGAATGGGAAGAGAGAGGTTGACTCAACGCATTTTCCTCATTATAAACAATCTGCCGCATTTAAAGCTATCACGGTGCGCCAAAAACCGCGGCTTGGAAGTTTGCCAACTGATGGCCCAGTGTTGTGTTGTTGAGTGGCCGGCTGGTTGTCTAAGAGTCAGGCTGCAACATAATTCTATAATTATTCAGTTACCCCAGGAAGCTGGCTTTCGAAAGATCTTCTTTTCGGCTGCATGCAAAAACCCTACTCTGTTAAAAATGACCAATTTTTTAGCGTGTATTTTTTCACTGACTTTCAATGCCCTTAAAAATTCTGTTATATTTCATAAAAACATACATAAAATTATTCATTTTTCCCTCCATTGGTAAAAACGACATCATCTTTCAGCTTTGTGCCCGAAGGAAGGGTATGACTTGGTTTTCAAAAGCTCTGAACTGTGAAATTTTCAACAGCGTGAAAAGGCCGTACATAAAACCTCATGTATCTGCATTTGTCAATGTGGCATGCAAAGTTTACAATATAGCTCAAATCTGACGCCAAATTTTTTTATCCCCTTATAGGTTCCTCTTAGTATTGTAGAGAAATGTATGGTGTTGCGCACGCGGAAAATATACGGCTTGTATTTTGAAAATGCTGAATGCAAATGTAACGGCAGGTCAGGTTTAAACTTATTCGGAAATTGGAAAATCTTTTGAAAACCAAATTATTCCCTTCCTTTGAGTATAAAATCAAAAAGACGTCATTTTCTACTGAAGAAGCAAAAGATCGAAACACTTTATGCATGTTTTTTATGAAATGTAATTTAATACTTAAGGGCATCAAAAATCAATAAGAAAATTGCATGCTAACTCAGTAGTCGTTTTTGCAGAGCACAGTTTTTGCATGCAGTCAAAAAGAAGTTTATTCGGAAGACGGCATGCCAAAGTAACTGAGTTATTATAAAGTTATGGCGCACAAAGATTAGTTTTAAAACTCTACTTAATTAATCTTTTCCGAACGAAAACGCACTTCCTAATTTCGTTCGACATTTCATGGCTTAGCCCGCCTACTGTATGTATCTACAAAGAACTACCTCGGGCTTATTATGCGTTCACTTCACCATTCGTAACACTGATCACTAGAGTTTTCCACTATAAATGCAAACCTGTACACAAAAGGCCACCAAATTTTATTTGTGGTGGCGGGGAATGTGCGCTGAATAGCATGGGAGCGGGATCCCGTTGTTCACTTCATTGTCTTTTCCCTTTCCTTGTCCCAGCTGGTCAGTCATCAGATGCGGAACTGGTCGCATGTAGCTAACAGTTATAGAACGTCCGACTTTGTACACCGCGTACAATCTGTCCTCCACACGACAAACCCGATTTTCACACAAAGAGGGTGGATCGCTCGGAGCCCACATATGTTAGATTACCATAGAGACCACACGGAGAAGGCGTTAAAACACGCTTTCAACTTAGCTTGAACATGCGTATCCAGCGCCTGCGGTAGGTTGTTTGGGACGGTATTGTGTGTGGTCTGCGTTTGTGTTTGTGGGGATGCGTGGCAATAAAATTTGGTCTGCGGTAGTCTACTGCATATCAGCATGGTGGCGCATGTGACGAAGTAGGTCTGTGATGCGACTGAATACCCGTGGTCATTGCGAGTATTTGAAGCTGGTGCGATGGATGTATGCTGGTGTTACTCGCGCTGGTTCTCCAGCCTCGGCTCTATGGGTTCGCAAATGAATGTCCAAGCGGATGCGCGAGATGCACCCTTAGTAGCAGTATGAACAGGATAGTTACTGAGTCGCTTTCAGTAGTTTTGTCGCTAATGGTGACCACCATGGTGAACAGAGTTGTTGATGGTGGATGTGGGAGTGCTGTAATAATGCAAGTCAGGATTGACCTGTAGATACTGCGAAGAAGTCCGCCTTTGTAAATGGCCATGAGACCGACTAGGCCCATGCGATAGCTGAGTATGCGTAGGCAGTGTGGAAAGTAAGAGGGAATACGGTAAGTGTATGTTGGGGCTTCCTGCACTGATTCAACAGTCTGAGTTCCATGCATTCTAAAGTGACCGATTTGTTCCGTGCGAGACGTTCTTCTGCAGTGTCAAAATGAGTAAGATATTTTGGTAGATTCTGAGCTCATGGCGACGATATTAGTGGTCGAGAGTTTGGTGATGCTGGAGATTATGAATTACTGAACATGCTAGGTGGACTTGGGATCTCGACATTACGAAGGTCGCGAGTGCTTATATGGCCGTGGAGGCCCATACGGTACCTGAATGAGCAGGAACAGGGCGAGCAAGATGCATTTTGGGACTTCAACTGCAACACATTCGCAAGGGAGCTACAAGGTCGATGAGGGGTTTGAAGGTATGAACGCAGTGAGGACAGGTTGTGATTTTGTCCGAATTGTTGGTGGTGGTGGTGGTGGTGGTGGTGGTGGTGGCGGCGACGGCGGCGGCGGCGGCGGTGGTGGTTCTGCATGCGGTAGTGGCGGTGGCGATGGTAGTGGTGATGGTTTGCAGGTGGATGTGGGTATTCCCACCGGCAGTGGGACTAGGCTTCTTAGAAGTCGTCGTCACAGTCAGCGTATGGGTTGTGGCAGTGATGACACATGTTGCGGTGGGCAGCGACTTCGGGGCTTGAAATGAGAATCTGAATTTGTTTCCTAGAACTCACCTTTGTCGCCTCTGTGGATACAGGACATTTGTTCACGGGCGTGAGCGTTTTCCGTGGGTTTCGTGGAGGTTGCAGCAGCGATGACGATAAAGACGTTTTAGGAGGAAGTAAATTGATTTGACGTAAATAATTATGTTCTTGCGAACTAACGAGTTACATCTCACGAGCCCCTAGTCTTAAAAGCAGCAAGTAAAACTGGGCAGTGAATAATATAGAGATTTTGAAAGTTAAGAAACTGGCAATAGAACACCACAGCGGAGCACGCTAGCAAGACCGGTTGTACAGGTGTGCCTTTTTCGTCACATTCAAGCAAGCAATGCGGGCAAAGAAAACAGGACTAAATTGTCAAAGGTAAATTACTCCGGTACCTCACCACAGATTTGTCTTGTTGATGTGTCGGGTTCGAAGGTGTCCTCTGAGGCAGACCGGTGTAGGGATAACGAAAACCTAATGCCTCACATGGGTTTTGGGGGATGTTGTTCTGCGTCGCTTGAGACTTGCAAGCCGCTCCGTTAGCTTTGGCAGTGACGACTCAGATGGTTGCCTAGATTGCTGCCCCAGTGTTCGCCGCTCTTTTCCAGGTCGGTCATTCTTGGACGAGGTCCTCTCAAGACTACCAGATTACTCGAAAATGCTTGAGAAGAATCTTCAGGATGAACTTGTCACGTCGTTCTGTCCTCCCTGAGAGCGAGCGCCCGTAGCGAAGACGCCGTACACGAGTTGCTCAGTCAAGCTGTCGACGCCGCTCGTCGCGAGGTGGACGCTGCAGATTTATTACAGTTGCTTCAGCCTGGTGTGAATGCTGAGGCTTCTGGTTCGTTCCACGGCTTCGTATTGGCCATTCTGTCCTTATACCGCAACTTTAGCCTTCTTCGTGCATGGAGGAGTTAGAAATGAAAGCGTTTCCTGACCCGTTGGACGTATACTGTTTTTGCCCTCGTCCCATGGTTTAGCGTCGTCTAGACTACCGTTTTATATATCTTGAATGTGATGTTGGGGCTCAGTCCACGGCTGTTCCAGACGGGGTTTGTAGCCGGCCGAAGACCTGGATTTGAATTTCCAGATTGGATAGTTCGGTCAGCAACGCCTTCGTTGACTATGATGTTGCTGTGGGCCTACCGCCTAAACCGACAAATTTCTCCCTAATGTGTGTTTAATGACGTCGACGCTAACGGCAGAGCACTTGTATTGAATGGTTGAAATCTTCTGATGATCAGTCCGATGTGTGCGCCGCCAGTAGCAAGGGGGTCTATGCTTCGCTGCGCATCCTCTTCTATGGCATTTTTGAGCGCCCACTTGGACACGGTGAGCGGGTTCTGAACAGTAGTCATAAAGAGAAGCGTTTTGCGAGCATGCGTCGGGTGGTAAATAGTCAGCTGTTGGTCCTGTAAACGACGTCGATGTCTGTACGTTCTCCACAGTATGCAACCATTAGAATGGGAAAAAACCTAAGTTTAAAGAGGGTGAGAGCGAATGGACAGTCCTGATTCGCCTCGCTGGTCATTAGGAATGCTCCGAAGAGTTTCGCGTTGTCCACGACGAACGCCAGTAACCCGTGTAAAACTGGCGTTCCATCTGAGTGGATCGTTTAGGAAATCCAGATTTTAGCATAATTATTCAGTCCATTTCCATCAACTGCCTCGAAGTCCCTCTCCAGGTCCACGAACGTAGCGTACATGTCTGTTTGCGGTTTCTGACATTTATGCCGCAGCTGGTGGGCGAAGAAGTTCATATCGGTGGATTCACCGTGACTCAGGGAGAGAAAGTATTCCCATGTGCGCGTGCAGACGGCTGAGAACAATATGTCGTAAGGGCTTCTCTGAAGTATTTAGAAGGCGAGGGGATCCGTGCTTATCCGATTTATAAAAGGGGGCTATTTTGCCTTCTTCGAAGAACCGAAAGCTGTTCCAACCATCGTCCCTTCTAAAGGGACAGTAGGCCTGCCTATCGGCCGAGAGTGGCAACACTTTTACATTTTGGTCGGAATCAGGCCGGCTTTTGGTATTTTGCTGGTGTACATCTCGTGTACGATCGTGGTAGTTCCTGCAGCGAGGACCAGTAGTTGAAATTGACGCTGGTCTTCCACTGAATGCGTAATTTTTTAGCGGCTTCGGAGACTGTGGG